AAGGAGGGTAGGCAGTATGTTTGCAACAATGGACTGAAACATACCATCAATCATGAAGATGGTGTGCAACGTTTCATTGTTACAGATGGGGTCGCTATGGTCAGAGCTGACTTGACAGCAACTAGCAATAACAGAACAGGCATCTAGCAGACCCTGAGGAAATATGTGAAGGAAGAAAGAGGAAAGGGAAGAGAGGGTGAAGGAAGTGGGAAAGAAAGGTAGAATTAAGGTACCAGTGTCCTGTGGGAGGGATTTGAAAAAGAGGTCAGCAAGGACAGGTCAAGAAAAGGGATGGTCAGGACCTCTGAGGGCAGTTGGCCTCAAGGACCTGGGGGACAAACTGGAAGGAAATGGGCAAGACAGGATATGTGCAAAAGGCTCCACCAGGACCCTGAGTGTGATCCCAACAGCCCAAAGTCTCAGACCTGGAAGAATGTCAGGTGCATTGTCCCCAGCAAAGGCACTGGGGACTGGGGAGCTGAAGACCATAGGGCTGAGATTAATCCTGTGGCCTCTTTTAAGTCTTACCCCATTTGGAGACACTTGCCTTGATGGTCTCCGACTTGCCCAGGCTCCCAGTGACTGAGATAGTGGGGTGCTGTCTGGGTGTTCTCAACTTTGATAAACATCTTAATACTAACATAGGATTCAGATGCTTGTTTGAGTAAATCATGAATAGGCCTCAATTACATTCCTGTATAGCATGGGCTACACAGAAATAAAAGGGAATGAAAATATCATCACCCAGTTTACAGAAAAGATTTTGAGGCAGTGATTCTCAAAAGTGTTAAATCCAGAGCAGCACCATCAATAACACTTGGGAATCTGTTAAAAACGCAAATTCTCAGGACCTACCCCAGACCTACTAAATCAGAAACTCTAGGGGTGAGGACCAGCAATCCATGTTTTAACAAGTCCTCCAGGGTATTCTCATGCACATAAACTTTAAGAACCACTTAAAGTTCATCATGGAATAAAGGAATGTTTTCAATTTTAAAGCTCCCACACACTGCCACCTCCCTAAATTTTTCTTAAACTTTCGACATCTGCTATACTAGTCTGCATGAGTAACAGTAAGCTGCAAAATGAGGGAAGGAATATTTGCAGGATAGAACTTTAGAGGGGCTTGATGCCTGGCTTTGAGACCCTGGAGAAACTCCTTTACCTCTCAAGCCTCAAGGCTTCTCATTTTTAAGAAGGGAAAAATAAGTAATTACCTTATAAAATTGTCATAAGGATCAAATGAGATAGTGCCTGGTATACAGTATTCAATTATGCTGGTTATTATTATTAAAGTATAACTCAGGAGAAGCTGATCAACTCATGGGATTGACTTAACAAGAGGTTTTTCCAAGGTAGTGATTTTGTATCATATACATGTAATACCTTTAGTCTGTTTCTAAGAATTCACATTTCTCAAAAATTCTGCAGAGAGCCTCATGGGGCTGAGACTGATCCTGTGGCCTCTTCTAAGCTTTACCCCATTTAGAGACTTCTCTTGGTGGTTTCAGACATCAAGGTGCTGACACGTTTTTGTCAAACAGGTACTCAACACCCAAGTAACTGCAAAATCTCTGGTCCTGCAGCAAGTAAATGGAATGGCACAGCAACTCGTCTTTGAGGGATTCTGGAAGGCAGGGGTGTTCATGGAAGGGTGGGGGTGACAGGACATGAGGGGTGAACCCTTTCCAAGCCTCTCCTTCCCCATTTAAGTCCCAGCTCCCCCTAGGGTCCAGAAGGAAAGCCTGATGATTTCTAGTAGGAAAGGGAGGAGTTAAATTAAATCATGAGCTCAAAAGGCCATCCTGAGCCAAAAACGCTGACACAGTTTAGGTGCAGCTTCCAACTTACATCTCCTCAGTAAAATGAATGCTCTAAGGGGCAGGGAAGTTTGTTTTATTCCTTCCTGGGTCCCTGTACTGTAAACAATGCCTGCCTTAAAATACTTTTGAATGGATGAACATCTGCTAAACCAATAGTTCTGTAGTTAGAAGAAAGAGGCTGCTGCTTACCCAAGATGAGGACGACTAAGGTCTAGGGGGAGTCTGTTGGACTTGGGTGAGCATGTAGGGCTGGGACCCACCACTTGGAGCTATGTTTGCTCTGAAGGCCCAAGTCCTTGCCGGTGCTTCTTTTAGCTAGAGTTCTTTGGCAAGTCCTATGGTATGTGGGACTCTTACTGTGATTCAGGCAAAGGCCAGCTTTGGATCATTTAGGGTGGGCCTGAAGGCACATCTAGGATAGGGTCTTGGATATCTGAAACTGGATGAAAAGCCACCATCATAATAATCCCCTTCTCTTACCTGCTCCTTAGCAAATCCTAGCTTGCTTCAAGGCTCAGTCTTTCTAGGCACCTTCCCCACATACCAGACTGGGCCCCAAGCCTGTGCTCATGAGTACTACTCAGGGTACACCAAAGGGGCCACTCCTTTAGGTGTCTCAGGGGTGCCAGGGCATGGTGGCTGCACTCCCACTCTAATGCAAGAGGCTTAATGATTCCAGGTGAGTTATGTGACACCCTGAATGTGTCAGAGTAGGCTGCTTTAAAGGAATACACTGACAAAATACTTGTTTGCATGAAATTACTAAGGCAGAATACTCACCATCCTGTGTCCTTCCCCGCCATTTCCACCTAACACCTAGATTCTGCCTCAGGGCCCAGCTTTAGGGTCACTCCTCCCACTCTGAGCCTGTCCTGCTCCTGCCCAAGCAGGGAGAGGCCCCCCACCAAGTGCCTACAGTGATCCTCTGTAAAGGGCCTCACAGACTTTAATGTAGATTGCCTAATTATAACCTTGAAGAGTTTTACTGGGGTCTACTCCCACTTTATGGCTCCAGCCAAAGGCCAGAGGCCTTGCCTAGTGCATAGAAGTGGCCACCATTTGCAAATTTTATAATATTTTATACTCTCCCCTCTCCCCAGTTAGAAGTCTGTATCAGTTTCTCACAAACAGAAATGCCCTCTACTTCTGGGTCAACTACAGCTGCTAAAAGTGGGGATCCTCGGAAGGATGCTGGGAAGCATGGAAAGGTGCTGACCAGAAGTTCTAATGGTGATCATGTTACAACAGGCCAAAGACCTATCCCTGTCCAGGCCTCAGTAATTCCTCACTGTAAAAATGAGGGAGTGCCTTTGGGTTCCATTAGATTAGGATTCCATTTTGAGAGAAAACACAAAATGACCAAGGAAAGTTTACTACAGAAAAACTCTCCAGAATCCGTGGTTTATTTAAGTTGCAAGCACGCTGAGCACACATAATCATTAGTAACTGGAGCAGTCTGGTAGCATTTTAGTCAAGGTCCTCTTAGCTGCACTAATAAAAACTCACCTGAGACTGGTTAAAACAATAAAAAAAAATTCATTCTAAGGATGCCTAAGGGATTAATGGAGCCCAAGGCAAGAATGCAGGACTAGATAAAGAGACCAGGACTCAGTGCCTGAGGAACAAGTCCTTAGGGCCACTAGGGCAGCTGTTCTCAGGGCCACAAGCTCCCATGTTCTGTATTTCTACTTCTAACCCCCTCTGCTTGTCTATGGACAATGCTGGTCACAGGTCTTGACTCTTTAAGTGCCCCATCCAAACCACCATCCTATATGGTGACCAGTATCTCTCCTTTCCCATGCCAAATTCTTAAGATAGAAAGAATCTGCTTGGGGAGGGAGGGGAGTGAGAAGGGAAAAGTCAATGACTACACTCCCGTAGGAGTGAGGTGTTTCTGAGGGGCGATGTCATTGTGAGTCGGGAAGGTACCCCAAAGAGTGTCATTAGAGAGAGGACAACCACCTCATCAGTACTTAGCTATCAATACTTGAATACAACAGCAAAGAAGTTTGTAATTTTCTATAATTCCGAGTGACCTTCTTCAAATGCCTACTGAACTAGTCAAAGCTCAAGTACTGCAAACTTACATTTCATGAGGTACTATTGAATACTGAAACCCAAGCAGAAAGTTACAAAAAGCTGCTCCCTGTTTTACTGCTCTTCACTGATTTTGCTGACATTTGCTTTTTTACTTTTATCAAATCTTACAGGAGTGAAGACACATCAAGTTACAAAGATATCACTTTCTTACTAGCATTTAAAAAACAAAACAAAACACCAATTTGTGTTAATGTCAGAGACATGATAAAGACAAAGACCATTTCAGAGGAAGCAGTTCAACTGATTCCTTAAACCAATAAAAACCCTGCCAGGGAAACGTTTTGTGGGCATGCTGCATACAGCCTACACACAGTGAGTGCTCAATGTTAGATGAATCTAAATCCAATTTTAAAACGAGTACAAGTATCTACTTGAGATTTTGGCTAATAATTTCAGGGCACACTCTGCTTCTGTGTCCCATAGTAGATGGGGAAGAAAAAGGCAACCGAGTTGCAAACTTACTATTCTCTTTATAAGCAGCTTACAACTACTGACATCTCTAGCTCTGAAACACAAAATGTATACAAAGAAATGATCAGAAATTATCTTAACTGAAAGCACTAGTTTAAATCGCCTAGGGTCTTAGAGAAACTATTATCCCAAAACATGCAGAGGCAGCAAGAGTCACTCAAAACCACATTTATTCTATGATCTTTATATTGCTTTTCTATTATTTAAAGACTGAAGCAACACGAGATGGATGGAAATATTTTGTTAAAAGAACAAAATGAGTTAATCACAGCATATACACCTAATAAAAACCTCAGGGTTTATGCCATATACTCCAAACACAAGGCTAAGGCCAGTAACAGTTCACGGTCTGAGTTTTTGTAAAGCAAGCAGGCATATTTGAAAGGATCAATATACTTCAGTGGAAGAGCCATTAAAAGCCCCTGAAAGCAGAAAGTTGACACCATTTTAAATATATATATATACACACACACACACATTTTAAAATCAAACACAATTAAATAGAATATGGTTTAAATACATGAATACTTCAGCTTTAGAAGGATAACAGAGGTGGTACATAGTACCAAACACTTACACACAGCCTTTTTGCTTCTTCTGTTGGTGAAACAGTATGCCTCTATACAATCAAATATTGCAATGGAATAAATTCTCCATTCAAGACTTTCTCAAGGACAGAGGTGATTAATAATTACACATACACACACATACATATATGTATAAAACAATTACTATTTTTTTTTTGCAGTCTGAGCAAAAGCAGTAACACCTAACAGAACTTCCTTTCCCCTCAAACAGACACGGGTGACAAGGAAGCATAAGCATCTGTGTGGCTAGTGGAGTGTGCTTGCTACTGGACAGCCCGATGAATGGCTCTGTGGTCCAGACACAGAAGCCAACTAAGTAAAAGAGCAGTGAGTTAGAGTCTCTTACCATCTTGAGACAGAAAAAAAGGCCACCAACTGCAAACTTTCCAGCTTTCCCCCCTACCTTCCCCCTACCTTCTTAAAAAATGTTGTACAATCTGGAATAAGCATTTTGTTCATGGTACCACAGGGGAAAAACAGGAGTGATCGTTATTATTTCTTTCTTTCCACATGTATTCTTAAGGGAGAGCTAAGTAACTGAAGTGCAAAATTCCAGAGCAACAAGTCCTAACGCTCAAAGTAAACTAGATCCTCCCTTTTGTTAGCAGAGGCCTATCCCGGGGAAAGACTGGTTTTAAGTATACTATATGTCAGGAACAAATAAAATGTGAAAATTGCATACTGTTACCAAAGGAAGGGCAGTATCACCGATACCTGACCTGTGTTAGCTTTTTTCCTAACTAATGCAGACTCTGTGGAGGAAGGCTGTATAATGAACCTGCACTCCATTACAGGGAAGGAAAACAATCTGCTAGCACTGCACTGCCACTCTGAGCCTCCTGGCTCTCAGTGGGGCAAACTCACCTTTTTGTTTTAGGACAAAGCAAAGCACCTCTGGTACCTGCTTTATGAGCTATTAGGGAGGAGTTACCTCTACAAGAATGTGCATCAGTTACCAGCTTTATGCTTATCTGCCTCCTACAGGATGTGGCCCCTGTCTATCCTAGCAGGCTAAAACTCTTTCATAAATGGGTTATTGCCATTGGAAAACTACTAATTTTCTAGTAATGTAAACAATACCACTTTGTCTCTTTATGACTTTCACTGTGTGAACATCATGTGCATCACATATGCCTGCATGTTACTCTGCATTATGGTGGAAGTCTTGGATTGTCTGCCATTCTTTCTTGGGAACAACAGTGATACATCAGTGAAAAGAAATACAGTGCTTTGTTTTCATTGTCTGTGTTGAAGAATCCAACCAAAGGAAAAAAGTTCTCTTATTCTTCAAAAGCAGATTTCCTTTATCTCAGGTCTTGAGTCATAGCTGAAAAAGATAAAAAGTTAGAGTACATTTCTATAACCAGGGACATATTACAGCTTAAGGAAGAGGGGAACCAACACTTAATGAGTGTTTTCTGTATAACAGTGCTTAGGACAGGTAGAAGCTGACTAAATCTTGTGAGGTAAAATTTAATTATTATTCTCACTGACAGATAAGTGAACAGATGCTTAAAGAGGTTACATAACTTACCTAAGGTCACACAGCCAGGACTGGCACCTAGACTTTTGTTTTTCCTTTTTGGCAATAGATTTAAGAATGAAAAATATTCCTATTATCTGACAGAGTATTTCTACTTCTAGGAATTAACCCCATGGCACAATCCAAAGGCAGGGTAAAGCCATATACAAAGACATTTATTAAAGTGTTGTTTGTAATAGGGGAAAACCAAAACAATGTAAATGACCACCAACGGGATTTGTGAAATTAGAGAGAGGCCAACCACCTCATCAGGTGCTTAGTTATCAGTACCTGAATACAACAGCAAAGAAGTTTGTAATTTTCTATAATTCAGAGTGATCTTCTTTAGAAAAAAAGAACTTTGATCTGCTAGCCTCCCAAGACCAAGCTCATGAGGCTGAGTCCCTCCTTTAAGTACAACACTAGGGAAGAAACAAAAATCACAGAAGTCATGATCTCTGCTATTTGTGAGACAGCACATATACACATGAACCAATTAAGTAATGATGTGAGGTCATTTGTGTTAAATGTCCAAGTACATCAATGTCATGGATTGAACTGTGTCCTCCCAAAATATCTATCAACTTGGCTAGGCCATACTTCCCAGTATTGTGTAACTGTCCACCATTTTGTCATCTGATATGATTTTCCTATGTGTTGTAAATCCTACGTCTATGACGCTAATGAGGCAAGATTAGAGGCAGTTATGTTAATAAGGCAGGACTCAATCTACAAGATTAGGTTGTATTTTAAATCAATCTCTTTTGAGATATAAAAGAGAGAAGCAAGCAGAGAGACAGGGGGACCTCATACCACCAAGAAGAAAGTGCCAGGAGCACAGCGTGTTCTTTGGACCCAGGGTCCTTACACTGAAAAGCTCCTAGACCAGGTGCAGACTGATGACAAAGACCTTCCTCCAGAGCTGAGAAAGACAGCCTTCCCCTGGAGCTGGTGCCCTAAATTCAGATTTCTAGCCTACTAGACTGTGAGAGAATATACTTCTGTTTGTTAAAGCCATCCACTTGTGGTATTTCTGTTATAGTGGCACTACATAACTAGATAACTGGGGATTCAAAGCAGTGAGATATCAACATGGGCAAAAGAGGCTGGGCATTACTTTGTAGATGCAGGACTTCTCACATACATCATGGAATGAGAATTAGAAGGGAACCTTAATGAGGTTTTCTTGTCCAAATTCTCTGATCTACTGATGAAGAAATGAGGGACTGGAGAAGGAAAGTAACTTGCAAAAGGTCACACATATTGACTAAGTATGGACTGAACTAGTTCTCATAGTCCAGTGTTTTTTTCATACCAACATACTGCTGATCTCTGAAGAACAAGCAGGACAGACACCTTGACCAGTCAAGGGGAAGGCCTAACAAACTTACAACAAAATTCATAAAAAATATATCTGTATATCCTAAAAGTGAAAAGCATAGAGTAATAATCTCTGAACATACAACTCAAAAAGCCTTAATTTGAAACATCTGCTTTCCAAAACGGTTTCTAAAGAATATTTTTACACTGTCAAACATTTGAGCATCAAAATGATAAAGGTTAATCACAAAAATAACTATTTTGCACTTCTTTATATGCCTTTATCTTACTCTTTGCTATTTTAGGTTTTACTTAGCCAGTGAAGATAACACAGGGAAAAATTATTACCCTCAGACAGAAAAGAAGATAGAGTCTGCAGAACTGAAGAGGGCTTTGGTAGACTCGGCTCAGTGCAAAATTTGAAATTAACCCAAGCTCTGGTAAAACAGTCCTTATAACAGGGTAATAAGTTGGAAAGGGTGATGCTGGATCTAAACTTAAATTCAAGCCTTCCAAACTACTAAGAGTTATATGAAATGTCATCTTAACATATTTTTCTGATTTCTGATTCTTGCTTAATGTAAACTCTAGAGGAATAGTTGTGCCTTCACAAAGGAGTAGTTTAATGCCCTCACAAAGAATATGAGCAGGAATTAACTCTTCATGGATCAACTAGAGTTAAACTGTTGAACGAACTGAAAATGTCTGCCTTGAAGAAAAGACTGAGAGGAGACTAAGTGGCTGTCTTCAACTTTTTAAATGTTGTCACAGAGAAGGATGAGACTTAATTGAATGGCTCCAGTGGGAAAAACTAGAACCAACTGGTGAAGCTATAGAGAAACAGAAAAGCAGCTTGTGGGAAGTCAGAATTTCCTAACAATAATAGCTTTGACATCCAGGTAGAGATGGCGATTGATCCTACCCATTCCATTCAGTTCATGCCAAAACAGAACTTTTTTTTTTTTTTTTTTAAAGCATAAGCTTACATGAATGGGAAAAAATGTGAGAAGAGACAACAGCAACAAAATTCAGAAGCTGGAAGTAGGCGGATGAATGGTAAATGACTAAGCACACACAAGAAAACTCAATCCTAAGACTAACGTGGAGAAAACTTAGGAGCAATCTGATTTACACTGCAGAATCCCTCAAAGGCTGGGCAACTGGTGGCAACCAATACCTCTGGTAAAGGGAATGTGGTGGGTGCAAACACAAGGACTTGTTTAAAGTCTGTTGTTCTGCAACTCCGATCAACCAGGTGACTACCGTGCCTCTACCCCGACCCCAGCAGGAAAATCTCAAATGTCTTCTCTAAGAAGAATCTAATAAAGGGTCTCTTGGCTAAGGTACTCTAGGCATGACTGAGGGCGAGGATGCTGTACTGAAAAGTGGGATCAAGAAGTGGCATATGTAATGAATGCTGTGACCCCTGGCACTTTCTCCTGCTTGGCTCCTAGACCACTGGCAGCCCAGCCTTTACCCTCCAGTCAGGATACTGGGAGAGATTTCTCTGGGGAATATGATCAGTCCAAGAAGAAGGAACTTTAAACAAACAAACAAATAAACTGACATCAGTTCACCAAGGAAATGCCTGACTAGATTCTCCAGAGGGAGGACCAGAGTTGACAAATCCCATCCACATGCTCGGAGTTACCAAACAATTTTTTGGAATCCCACACTCAAATAAGAGCAGACAACCAGAGAGCATCAGAAATCTGAAGAAGCCCTCTAACATGAAAAACAGAGACCAAAAGAAAGAGAAAAAGAACTTGAATGAAACAGAGACAAGGAAGGGAGAAGAAAACTTGGAAGAAGCTTATAATTATTCTCAGAGTGATTATCAGAATATACTGCATCTGAAAAACAAAAATATATGTTATTTAAAAGCAACATCCAGAGAACAAAAAAAAGCTTGAAAATTAAAAATGTAATAGAAGTAAAACACATGGTAATTACTATTCATTAAATTATACCAGATTGTTGTACTGTGGTGGCTTGTGTGCTGCTGTGATGGTTGAAGCTATGCTACCAGTAGTTCAAATACCAGCAGGATCATCCATGGTGGAGCTTCAGACAGGTTTCAGTGGAGATTCCAGGCTAAGACAGACTAGGAAGAAAGGCCTGGTGATCTACTTCTGAAAATTAGCCAATGAAAACCTTATGGCTCACAACAGAATGTTATCTGACTCGCTTGCTTTGGACACGTCATCAGGAGGGATTAACTGCTGGACTGCATCATCATGTTAGGGAAGGAGAGGGCCAGCGAGGGCAAGGGGGACCCTCAGTGATACAGACTGGCACAACAGTCGCAATGATGACTGGTGATTTCAAGGGTGACGCAGGACCAGGCAATGCTTTGTTCTGTTATGTATAAGACTGCCATGAGTTGGTGGCTTGATGGTGGCTAACAACAACAAAAAATTATACCTACGTATTTACACACTTTTTTGTACATACGTTATATTACACAAAAAAAAGAGAGGGAGAAAAACTCAGTAGGAAGTTTATAATAAAAGTTGAAAAAATCTTCCAGAAAGCAGATCAAAATCACAAAGAACAAGAAAATAGAGAAAAGATAAAATTAGAGGACAAGTCCAGGAAGTTCAGTATCTGAATAATATGAACTCCAGAAAGAGAGAACAGAGAAACTAAAAGGTGGGGTGGGGGGGAGAGCTAATTCAAGATAACAGCCTACATTTTCAGACTGAAATGACTTTTCAGCACTATGGATTAAAAATAGATCCACACTAAGGTATACAACCTTAAATTCCAGACTCTGGGATAAAGAAAAGATCCTATAGTCTTGCAAAGAAGGGGGCCGAGGTGAGCAGGCAGTACTATACAAAGAATAGAACTGCAATGGTTCTGGATTTCTTGACAGTAGTAACAGAAGCCAGATGATGAACCAATACCTTCAAAATTCTGAAGAAAAATTATTTCCAGTCTAGAATACTAAACCTAGTCAAACTACCAATCAAATTGAATAAAGATTTTCAGACATACAAGTTTTCAAAAAATTTACCACCCTCCACCCCCGAAGCATTTTTTCTTAGGAAGCTCCAAAACAAGGAAGCAAATCAAAAAAGATGACATGAGATTCAGGAAATAGGGGGATTCCAGGATAAAAAATGTTTACTGGATAAAGAGAGCAATCTGAAGCCCAACAGAAGGCTCCAGGAGAAATTTCACTAAGCACAAAACTGAACATATAATAAAAGAGGAGGTTTAAAAAACTGGTGCAGAGCTTGGAGCTGAATTAGTGATACATACATAGAAAACCAAGTAAATGGGGGGAGGGGCTTATCTTCAGGAAAAACAAAAAATTATTCATGAAAGAAAAAGTAATCATTATTCTCACAGCTAAGATATGAAGAGTGTTTGTTGTTGTTGTTAAATGCTGTCAAGTCAGCCCCTGCCTCATGGAGACCCCATGCGTAACGGAATAAATGCTGCCTGATCCTGCACCATCCCCATGATCACTTGCAAGA